AAATAAATAAATAAATAAATAAATAAATAAATAAATAAATAAATAAATGAGACTGGGACTGGAGGGTTGGCCCAGCTATTAAGAACACTTGCTGCTTTTCCAGAGGATCCTGAGTTCAGTTCCTAGTACCCACGCCAGGCAGTTTCAAACCGCTGGCAACTGCAGCTCCAGAGGATCCGAGGTCCTCTTGTGGCTTCTATGAACACTCTGACACATGTGGCATTCACTCACACAAATACACACACACACACATACATGCACACACACACAAATAAAATACATAAAAATGAACCTTAAAAAAGTAAGATGGAGAGCAGTTGAGCAAGACCCCCTGATGTTGACTTTGTGCATGCACACGCTCACACATGTGCACGTATATACGGACATATACACACACAGACATTGGCAAGCCCAGGGTCTGACAATGGCATTCAGTGCTATTTATTCATTGTGCCTTCCATGACTGCACAGTAGTGTTTTCTGGCGACTGGAACGCAGTAGGCGCCCCACTCCTATTCACAACTTTGCATTAGCTAATAGATGTCACCCATGATCTTGCAATAGATCTACTTCAACTGGACTATGGAATCACCCAAATCATTTTTATTTAACTTGAACATGTGCCTCCCTTCAAACTGGGGCAGCACTGGGGTCAATATTTGCATGACCTATGTGTACACTTTGGGAAGCAGAGCAGCTGGCAGGGAGATGGGAAGGCAGTTGTTTCTGTCCAGAAGGTTCCCCGGATTTAGGATTTGGCTCCGCTCAGCATGCCGTGGGGCATCCTGGCTGGGTAAGGTGGGGATGAATTTCTATTGCCTCCTCTGCTGCATGACTTCTTTTTTCTCTGCTCCCAGCATGCAAAGGCTGTTGAGGACTCGGATGAGTCCTACGATTGTCCCTCTCACGTGTGCACATGCATGTGCGCACATGTTCACAGCAGTCTTGGGGCTTTCGGTATTCCAGTCACCATAAGAGTGTCACCAGGGAGCCTCGTGTTGCTTGCAGCCATGTCAGGATGAAGAATGAGCCTGGCTGTCATGGTTGGCTGCTGGTGGGGGTGGGGCTGGGCAGCTGTCGCTTCTAGATTGAAAGCCCGTACACTTGTGCGGAAACTGCTGGTGTGAGAGAAAGAGAACATTGGCAAGGGGAAGACAGAGTGGGGGAAGCGGCAGATCTCTCCCACCACCTTTGGAATGGCTCCCAGGAGAGGGCAGTCAGTCTTGTGCCTGCAGGATGCACCAGTCTCCCCCAGGTGCTCTCCTACCGCTGCTGGCTCTAGTCACCTTTCCTCCTTGCTTGCCAATCTCATTTTTCTGGATTTTGCCAGTTCTTTTGTTACAACGAGAGGGAGACGTGGCTGGGAGAAGAACGGAAGCCCTTTGGAACTGAGGCTTGGGAGGCTTGGGAGTCACAGCCCTCACAGTCCCCAGCAGGGTTTCTGTTATTTGACCTCAAATGTCTCTTGATTTTAGCTAGAGGTGGCAAATGGGTCTGCCTGCCACTCCAGGATGGAATTTGTTTATCCCCCAGAGTATGGTTTTCTGTCAGTTCCAAATGTGAATTTTTGGCTTCTTTTGGATGACGTCATTCTGTCTCCACTCCTGGCAGCCATCTGTGGGTGACAGAGGGCTCTGACCTGTGTTAAATAGGTCAAGGGTCTTCACATTTCACACAGACTCCATCTTGACTCTCTGACCAGTCCAAACCCTTAACACTTGGTGAATCAATAGTTGGTGACTCCTGACCCAGGTTAACCTCTTCATTCTGAGGGAAAGAACGCTGAAGTTCAGAGAGGGTGTATGGCTTACCGAGGTCATATAGTCTTCCCCAGAGACTGTGAAGACTCTGTTTATATAATGGGATCTGAATGGGTTATGGATAACACTTACTCATTTTTCAACTTCCTAGTGAAAAATTTACCTTCTAGTTCCCCTTATCCCCTTTATCCTGTGGCCCAAGAAGAAGGATATTGGACTTTACTCTATTGCCCAAATTCTTTTATTCTTCATGGCTTTTACTTACTCTTGGAGTTAAATCTTACTCTGACCCAATAATCACTCTGCCATTAGGGCTGGATGGGCAGTGTCACCTTTGGGAGGGGAGTTGGAGTTCCCAGTACTGTACCCTAAGGGGTGATAGACCTGAGTCTCCTCAATCAAGAGCAGAAGACAATGAATGCATGTGATCTCCTTTGCTTGCTTTCTTGTGCCCAGCTCAATTTCTCTATACAGTGTAACCTCTGTTACCTAGGGAGTGGTGCGGCCTGCAGTGGGCTAAGTCTTCCCACCTTGATTAACTTATTTAAGACGATCCTGCACAGATGTGCCCACAGTCTAACCCAATGTCGACGACCCCTCACTGAGACTCTTTCCAAGAGTTTCTAGGTTGTGTCAAGCTGATAGTTACAACTGTTACAGGGTTAAACTGGTGAAATAAAGGTTCCGTGTTGGGAATTATTCTAGGCAGACTCAGACCCTAGAGAATCCCAACTGGCTATCCTGCGTGCTCAAGGTAAAATCCTAACAAGGGAATAGAATTACGTAAAATGTAAGTGCTTCCTCTGTATGAGCGCCTCTGTTGGGTCTCACCTCTGCAGAATCTATGGGGATTGAAGGCTCTTGTGTACCCTGCCAAGAATGCTCTTTGTACCATGGAGAAGTTGAATCCTGTATTTTGATCCAGATGTTAGCAGACCACTTGTGTTGGTCAGTGCAGTTTCAAGGAATGCTGGAACTTGCTTTGCAACTTGATATTGTTGCTTATGGTCAGTAAATACGTTCTGCACAAAGTCCATGTGGCAGGTGTTTTTGGTTTTGTGGGCTACAGGACCTCTCTATGCTCCTCCTTCCTTCTCTTTCAAACACTGTGTTACAAATGTAAGGAAGGAACATCTGTGGCCCACAAGTTACACAAATGCAGGCAACAGGCCAGATGTAGCCAGTGACTGCAGCTTTTTTGCCCAGGGTTTTGTTAAACAGGTCTGCCCTGCAAAGGAAGACCTATGAGAAAGGTAGAAGTGCCTGGGGGCACTTGCAGTATTTATTGGAGTTTATCTGCAGGATAGGCATAGGAGTAAAATCACTGACTCCCTTTAAATTATGGACAGGAAGTGCCTCAACTTCCTCATTGGTGGGTGAGGTGAGAAATCTGTGAGAGTGGCTTGGGCTGTAGCTCAGAAGGTAGGGTGCTTGTTTAACACACGCAAGACCTTGGGTCATCTCAACACATGGGAGATAGAACCAGGAGAATCAGGTGATCCTTAACTGTATAGCAGCTTTAAACAAAACAAAACAACCATAAACCCCCAATCAACCAAACAAAAAATAAACAAGCAAGCATACAACAACAAAGAAGTCTAGTATAGAGTGGTCCAGAGTTGTCAAGAGTCTCCGGCAGTCTTCAGGTAAGACAAGGTTAGGTGGTCCTATGTCAGCAAGTCTCTGAGGCTCTTCCCTGAGGATCCTGCCCCTGGAGGTTTAGATGGGACCTGTTTGGAGATGCATAATTGAAACAACTAAAGTTCTTCCAGGTGCCAAGGAGGCAAAGAGCAGGCACAGACCCCAGTAACCTCAGGGTCCCAGACACACAGAGATCTGCCTCTACATCCCAAGTGCTAGGAATACGGGCATGTGTCATCACCCCCGGCTTATTTTTATTTTTAAAGGGGAGAATGTTACATTCTGTTAAAGATCTCCTGTTGGTACCCACAGATGAATTTGCTTGGCTCTCAGAGGGTTTTAAATGTTCAAGTTAGTCATCTACATTTAAAACTTAGAAGGATTCACAGCTCTCTAGATACCATTTAGTGTTTGTGGAAACCATAGCCCCTGTGGAGGGAGCTTGGGTGCTGCATTGCCATTATCCCTATAGACTGTGCATTCTGTGGGGGTCCTGCGTTCCCTTGGACTGACTTACTACCACCTTCCCGCTTAGCTCATCACCCTCAGTTGTCTGGATCACATGGGCATGGAGAGCTGCTCAGCAGAGGTTTGTTCCCTTATGAAGGCAATGAGTCCTGTAAGGCTTGCATCTTTTCAACCAGAGAGGAAGTAGACAGATCGGCATTTGGTGCACACATGGGTGGACAGCAGAGGGGAGACCAGGGGATGGGTCTTGGCTCTTTCTCCATCATTTTCCTCTCTGTCTTGTATGTTACCCTTTCTTCCAGACCTCCAGCCATCTATTCCCCCTTCTGATGACAATGACACAAACAGCAGCTATCATTTAGTGAGTATTTAAGTCAGGACCCCCAGCCATTTAATTATTCTGAACTTTATATATATTAGCACTGTAAGTTTTCTTTAGAAGAGGAAGTTAATAGTTTGTGGCCACATATTCATCATGAAGTAAGACCAAAATCTGAACTTAGATCTACCTGCCACCAAATCCCCTGTTCAGAGCGAGAAGGGCCAGCCACTTGTCCCACTGAGTAACATTGATGCGTAGATGTGGAAAAACAAATCTTTTATCTGAAATGGATGCTCATTTCACATTCTGTAGGCAGGAGACCCTAGTGAACAAACACATCATTAACTGGGATGCTCCAAACAATGCCCTCACTGAGGAGGAGTGCCAGCCCTCTGGAGAGGTCAAGGGGGCAGCATTGTTATGAGACAGGAAGCTCCGGCTGTCATGATGGATGTGCTGAGGAAGTGATACAGATCTCAGTGGCAAGGAGAAGCAAGGAAATAGCTGGCTTGTGCCCTCTGCTGAGTCCCATGGCTGCTCCTCTTGGTGCAGTTCGTTTCAGTGAGATGAAGCTGGCTGAAACATGACACACTTGTAGGGATTTCAGGTAGACAGATACCATAGAGACCACTTGGACTCTTTGTTACAGGGGAAACAATTCCTCTAAAAGCCCCAACAGGCAATTTCTACCCTATGCTTAGATATCTAGAGATGGCCAACTCATCACTCCAGGAAATAGACCTTTCTAAGTTTTTCCATGTGTATGTATATAGGCATGCTTTAGTGTATGTGTATGTATATGTGTGCATATGTATGTTGAGGTCATAGATCAACCTGTCTATTGTTTCTTGGGTGCCACCCACTTTGTTCTGAAAGACGGGGTCTCTCATTGGTCAAGAACTCTCCAAGTAAGCTAGGCTGCCCAGGGAGCCTCAGTGATCCAACGGTCGCTGCCTCTCCAGTACTGGAATTATAAGTTCATGACACTATGCTTGGTTTCTTCATTACATGGGTTGTAGGGATCAAACTCTTGCAAAGCAGACACCATACTAACTGAGCTGTCATTCTCAGCCCCTCTTTTCTGTCTTCAAAGAAATTTCTTTGCATTAGAATCAAACTTACCTATGTATTTCATCTCCTTTCCATTGTGCTGCTTGTTTGACCCATGTGGACTGTCTCCCCTCATCCTGCAGATGTCAACCCTTCAAGTTGCATTGTGGTAAATGTCTTCCCACTGGGTTGTCACTCCTTGGCCATAAATATCTACACTTGATTAACTGCCCTACATAAAAGAGTTTGCAGGTTCCTAGCCATCTGTGCTGGTTTTTCTGCTTGCTCCCCCCAGTCACGCCCATTTCTCATTTCCTTTGCCCTTATCCCTACTGCAGGAGACTGACCCTCCAGGAGACTTCCCTTGAGTGCTTTTTGCAGGTTGATACCATATGGAGCTAAGTTAATACAGTTCAGGAAGGCACCCAGAATGTAGGTAAATAAAGGGGCAAGGCGGCTTTCCTTTCTCTTTCCCTTCTTTAGGGAGACACTGTCTATCCTGATGGGCAGCCCAGTGGATATGATCATGGCTCTCCTTGGGCTCTTCTATGC